GACGTCCAAAATTTTTATCCTGATTTATCTTTATACTTCTCCTAAAATTTTTAAAGAGTTGACAAATAAATTGAGTAAATTTATTCTGCAGTGCTTCCCGATAGTCAAAGTTTAAATCAATATCCACAAATGTGGATAAACAGATAACATTAATCGTCTCAATACGGCAGCATAACACTGCGATAATTGTCAGGAGAGGTCTTTTTATGTTCTATAATTTATTTTTTTTTAAGTTATTGATCAAGACTCCAATTATATATATCATATTAAGAATGTAAGGAGCAAATGAGCATATGCTGGTTGCTATTGCAAATGTATTTGACTTACAAGATAATAGATATAGATAGTAGTTATTAATATTATCTTGTAAGTCAAATACATTTGGTAATAATAATCAGCGTAGGCTCATTTGTTCCCTACATTCTTAGTTTGTTATTTTTTTATATTTTATATTTCACTTTTTACAAAAATCATCGCAACGTATCATGACAAAAACATATATTTGCAATGAGCACAGACATGTACGGGGTGCGAAGCACAGAAAATCTGTTCTTGCCGCAGCTTGATACGTCAATTTTTCGCTAAGTTATAGCGTTTTAAAAGTCCGCCACGTGCACAATTTACAAATAAACACAGCGCGCGCAAAGTACGGAACTATAACGGTACTATGTTCAGCTGATCAACTGATAAACAGTAGTAAAATTTTTCGTCACAACACGTGCTTCGCGAGGATCATCTGGTCGTATCGGTCGCTTTCGCCTTATGTCGGGATCATTCGGCATGTCGTCGTCGCGGGTCGATGCAATTGTCAATACCCTCGCACAGACGGCACAAATCCAAAGACAGAGAACCTCATACTTCTGATACGCCCACAATTGTTTGTCTCAAGTAATTATTTTACGAAATATTATCAGTTTAATTAAAAAAAAAAAAAAGAATTAATTCTTTTGATATGACAGTAAAAGCGCGAAAAACGATCGCCGCTAGTCGGCACGCCGGGTTTATAAGTTAGAGCATCGTGTGTGCGTAATGCCCATTTTCACCAATGTAGATTAATTTTAACCTCGGTTCAACTTACTCTTCATCTTTTTCTAGTTCTAAGAATTAGAAAAAGATATAGAATAAGTTGAACCGAGATTAAAGTTAATCTACGTTGGTGGAACCGGGCACAAATGTCCTCCGAGAGGGTTAAGTCTCATTAAGTCTACAGATCCGACCCTGACAGGGCAGAGACGAAAGACGAGAAGCTGGCCAAACGGGCGGGAGAAGGACGAGGACCGCGGATCGAGCGATGATAATGATTCCGACGATGATAGACGGCTCGTTATTGCTGTACGCGTTCGCGCCGAGGGAAAGAGGCAGACGGGCGGCCGGCGCGTTCGTGTTTTAGAGCTGGGAGCGATCGGTCGACGCCATTACTCACACCGTTTGCGCCTGCCACATGGTCCGATAGGTCTCTTCTCATCCTCGCCTTCTTCTCCTTCCTCCACGTCCCTCCCTCACGCCATCACCACCGCTCGCTCCTGTCCGTCTCTCTTTTTAACCCTTTCGCCGTCTCTCTTTCCGCTCTCCTTGATTCTCTTCATCTCGCTCTTCGTCGTTCGATATTCCTGTTTGCTTCTTCCATCCTCCTCTTCCTCTCATCGTCTTTCGCACCCTTTTCCCCTCCGGTTCTGACTTTCAAGCGCGAGATCTGACGGCTGTATCGTACCTCCTTAGGGCGCGTATTTTATTTGGTGCGCCCTTCAATTACCTCGTACGCAATTCGAATGAAGAAGAACAATTGCTATATTAGATGCGCGCCGGATGGGTGTGTTAATACATTTTACTCGTGACGATCGCAGCCGCTTTGTGCAGCGATTTATTATTTTCTTCGAGGCGTATGAAACGCGCGAGATATCGTGCTTTCGTGCGAGAAAAATTGGTTTATTAAAATCAAGCGTGTCTATTCACGTATGTCTACAAAAAAGTTAAAAACGTATGAGCATATCAAATAAAACTTCAGTGCGCTTGAATCATCAATTTGGATACTGACGAGATAACTCGCAGATTATGTAAGTTTTTTTCTAGAAAAAAAAAATAGAAAAGCAAAGTGACAATTTTTATATGAAAACTTCAAAATTTGTCCATACTTTTAATGTCTTGATTTTGAATATTTTGCAGTAATCTTCCTGCAGTAATCTTTTGCGAAAAATATCTTTTTGTTTTATTTTTCTTTATTTAATGTATAAATAATAATTTTTCTAATACTTATAATAATAGCAGTGTTTTTATGAAAAATGTTAATTCTTATTGAAGAGGCTGTGATAAGACGCGTGTAAATCACGCCAATTGTCAGACGGTTTCGACGAACTATTGATATTGATTTGTGCGACCGATGGATGTGTGATCGTGAGTTTCTCTCCTCGCATTGACCGGCTCTATCGCATCGTCAACGTTCGTGAGGCATGATACGACATGACAGTCGGTTTGTACGCGACATTATGAAGATGTCCCCGACGTACGGCGAAACGACGACGAAGACGGCGTGCGAAGCATTTACGAACATTTCTACGCTGGTCCGTATACGTGCACGGGCGTGCCGACGCTGCATCGTCGATGTATATATGCACACCGACGTTACACGCATTATCTGATGGCACCGACATACGTCTTCGCTGTCAGCCGATCGTTAAGGGATCAAAGTCGCTCGGACGAATCGGCCAGGTTGGCCTTCTTTCCGCCTCTCCATTTCTTTTTTTCTTCTGTTAGAGCATGCTCGCACCGCTCACGTATCAGCGCACTCAGATAATCAATATCTATTGTCAATACGTTGATACTCAATATTTGAAGAAGCATCTCGTAAGCGATACTTATCGATATCTTATTTACAAAAAAATGTCTCGTAAAACAACAGTAGTAAAAATTTGATACATTACATTCCCCCGTTATCCCAAATATGTAAAATGAAATCCGTTAACGTGAATTATCAATTTAATATACGCGAACGCGCGCGGAACGAATGAAGAGGGAGGGAACCGATGATATAGAAAAAACAGGTCAGCGACTCTACTTTCAGCCCACGAATCAAATGCAAATTGGCAAAACTTTCCGTTACACCCGATATATCTCAATGATTTCGAAATTTAAGGATTTCAATGATTTTCCAATACGCGCCCGCGATATCCGCACAGCTCTCCGCGCGCTGGATATATTACCATTCACATTCCCAGGAATCGCTCCTTTATTACGTGACAATATTGCGAACGTTTCTTACGGGCAATAATGCGCCTTAAGATCCATGCCAGATGTCACCACACAGATAGCGGCTCATATACGAGACCAAAATCTCAAATATTAGCGGATGGGAACATCTTCCGCGGGGTAATATCGCGCTGTGTGCGACATCGTTCCCTCCTCCGCTATTCTATCTCGTGGATATTCGGCGACCACATGTGCACGAAACGGCTTATAAAACTTTTCGCGAACATCGTTATACCATGACGAGATCTAAACCTTGTTTTTTCCGCGATCACATTAGTGTATCGCGGATATTCTAGTTCGATATCGACGATATAAACGTTAAAAAATATAGAATATTCGGAAGAATATCGTGTGAAGTAATGATTCGAGAGTAAAAGCCCATACATTCCTATATAAAAATCCGTAAATATATTATTTTTGTTTTAGAAATATGATTTATTATTAGAAATGTGTTTTATCATTATTAGGAACCTGTTGTGTGTGACATAAAATAGAATTTATATTAAATACATATTTTTTAGAACACATAATTTTAAAATAAAGCTCAATAATATATCGTACAAAGTGGTGATATAATTGTAACTCTAATTAAATAATCAAGAAATTAAATGAAAAAATCAAAATATAATGCTAATGCTCTTAAAATTATTTATAAATCAATGAAATTACAACTGCCGTAACTCACTAACTACTTATGCTGCTATCTCTTGTCAGTTCCAAACATTAGTTGCTCCAAGTATTTGCAAAAAAATCATAAATTTTTAAATATTTAAGCCAGACTGTTAGCTTAACTAATTTCACACCTATTATATTCATATTCTTATTTGATATTCCTATTTGTCCACCTATTTCACATATTATATGCCAGTTAAGTACTGATGTAATCTATGCTCCATCCATCCAATGCTAACCGCTGAGTCGAGTGTATATCGACAGAAGATTCTCTCTTGTGCATCCACTGAGGATCTGCGTTAACATGCCAGGAAGCGTGCGATTAACCATTAATGGATATCACACTGTTGGCACAACATCTTTCTTTACATCTAGATCACCAACGCTAGCTAACAGCAGTTGTATCGTTCAGTTGTAGGAAATAATCGATACCGTATTGATGCATCTTATGCTAGTGGAAGCTCAGAATATAAGGATAGTTGCGAATATCTGTAGAATTACTAAAGTATGGCTGTAATTTTAATCAGGGTTACAGAAATAATTAGATTTTAAATTTAGAAATTTATGCTTGGGAAAACTTTATCACTTTATCACAGAAAAATTTCTTTGTGTAAAATAAAGATATATTTTGTGGTATTTTTATGCATTGATACAGAGCATATATTCCTGCAATCTTAATTTCTAAATTTCTTTAAATTCTTAAAACTATGTTTTATTAGATTATGAGTATATAATTCACCAACAATTTAGGAATTTGATGCATGAAAAAGTTAACACCAACATATTCTTCTAAGTCAAGTTGTGCACTGATAAGATTGATGTAGATAGGGATTCATAAAGCAATTAGCACTTATCACTTATGTAATAACGATTAACAAGAATTTACCGATTATATAATAATAATATGCTATTTATCGATAAAATATATGATTAATATGTAACATTACCCAACATTATTCCTATATTTTGTTTCACAAGGTTGTTGCTTCTAATTCATCTGAGGCAATTGTCTTTATTAAAAGTAAGACGTTCTTATGCAATAAAAATTTCTTTTCGAATATTAATTTGTAATAAAATACCAAAAGTATGCACTGACCTTAAGGTATTTATTTCTATTCTTTTACATGAATTTATGTATATACATGTTCAATTTTCGAGACAACTATAAATGTCTGTATGATCAGTTTTCTCAATGTCACGTTCAATGTAATGAAGTAAAAAAAAAAGTATGATGTCCAATAGTGTACGTATGATAAATTACGATCTCAGAATGCCAGCTATCACGTAGCGCACCCTTGCTTAAAGCAGTTTCATCACATTGTCAATTCCTGAAATGAAGAAAGTGAGCAAATAAGTTCTCAATTCTTACATTTGTCAAACATTTTTTAGTGATAGAAAACAAGTCAGACTGCCAAGAAGATATCAAACATAATTTTTATATATGTTCTGATTATAAAGATATAAGCGAAACCTTTAAAACAATCATCATATGGTTGTACAAAAGTACTCTCATATAAAATGGAATACGTATTCTGAAACTTACCATGATAGCATTGACAATGTCATTTTGATTATTCTTTAGAGCCTTTATAGCTTTCCCTCGTGACACATTAGCTTGACACATAACCAAATCAACATCTTTTTCCTCCACACCTGTTTCATCCACCTCTTCTTCCGATTCTTCTTGTATAGGAGCAACAACCTTGTGAAACAAAATATAGAAATAATGTTAGGTAATGTCACATATTAATCATATATTTCCAAATAAATATAGATTACATCTTACCGTAGTACTGCCACCCGCGTCAGTTGCTGGTATGACTGGTGGTTCCTTGAACTTCTCAGCAGCTGCTACCTGAGCTTGTTGACTGAGATCTTCAATCTGTGGACAAAAATTATTTATTACTTAAAACATGTATTAAGTTAAAACGATACAAATACGAGCAAACGTTCAATATCAGTCTGCCAAGGTTTTTCAACATTTTTAACTTCTGTTAATATGCGAAACTTGAATAAATCATCATGGATAAAGTTTGCTAAAAATTATCTCTTAGACATTCTTTAGGTGGGGCATCGATCTATTAATTCGGTACATGGATAGATCAAATATTCTATTTTAATTTTGATAAGGAGTTTGATAAATATGCAATATTTATTATGGAATATAATTATTAAATTTCTTACCTTGGCTTCACCAAACACTATATATGTGTCAGAAGCTGGGTTCTTCAAGACATCTGGTTTGTTTATAACAAATAGAATGTTCTTTGACTTACGAATAGTCACTCTATTGACTCCTTGCACCTATATACAAAAAAAAAATTATTTTATGTAAGAAAAAAATTAGATTGATTACAATATAATTTAAATTACAATTTATTGATCCACATACCGGTTTCAATCCTAATTTGCTCATAAGCTTCCTCGCTTTCTTTTCACCGCGGCTCTGTTTAGCCTTGGACACCATATCAATAGGTAGTCCCGTGACAGCTGTGCCAGGGAAACCGACAGTGCCTGGAGTACCCGCATCTTCCAATTCTGGTATAGTGTCGTCTGAATCCGAGTCAGTTCCAGAGCCAATACCTACCAAGTGGCTCTCGACCTTGGCAGGTTCTGAGCTCGCAGCTTTATCAAGTTCCGTCAATTCTGGCATGTTTACTGACCTGTAAATAACAAGACAAATGTGTCATATAATTTTTTTCTCCATTACACAGAGTCAAATTTTCATGAACATTAAAAACTATTTGATCTATCCACATGCCGAATTAAGATTAGATTGATGCCCCACCTAAAGCATGTCTAAATAATCATTTTTAGCAAAATTATCAAATTTGTTTAAAAATGTAAAAACAAATTGTATGTTTAAATTTTTAGAAAGGAAGTCAACATTATCTAATGCGTCTAACATTTCACGCGACAACCCACGTGAACTTTTTCTACACAAGCGTTGTCATAGATGAATGGAAATTGGTATGGCGTCCAGTGTAAAGCTATCCGAAAAAAACCTTGCTAAATGTGGAAATTTAATTGTGATTTTTACCTAACTGCGACACGCTATAGGACAGGCGCGACGGTTACAGGCGTTACATTGCCATTACAAGCCGCCACAAATAAATACTCGAAATATTCCGCCGGAACATTCTATATTATTTGAAGCACGGGAAAAATCGCGGAAACGAGGTTCGTGAAGATCTGATGCACTCATGCCAATATCAGTGATAATAAAGTATATCACGCAATGCTATTAATATATACATCACGCGCTACATCTGATCTTATAATTTACGTATATTTTTTAGGAAATTATGTAGTGATGCCGAAATAATCATTAGATTTACCTTGAAAGATAGTCGGCCGACAAACAAGCACTGTATTTTTATCACGTAATTAAGGCAGATTTATATGCGCGTCCAAGCAGCTTGATGTTTTTTGGAAATGACACTGCAGGAATGAAGTCTTAAGGTTCTTACACATTATGCACGTTGTGTGGCAGCACGTGACGCCACGAGAAAAAGTTGAGATAGCAAATCTGATTGGTTACGCTATATTATTGATAATTTTGATATTTCAATATTTGGATAAAAAATTTTATTCAGTTTATTTTTAGTTTTGTTACATTTGTTAAAAGACTTCGCGCAATAAAAAATTATATTGTTACTTTTATTATCTGTAAAATATAAGTTACAAATAAGGTGAAGAATAAAAACCATAAATGTGTTTAAAATTGTATTATAGCAACAATTTTTCAAGCTATTTAAATATTTTTATACATACAAATTTATTAAAATAATTTTTAAATAATGCTTCAATACGACAGTAAATACAATCCTTTATCAAACAAAGCAAAAAATATATAATATTATGAAAAACATTCATTTTTTCAAAACGCAAAGTGCATTAAAGTTGAATTTTAAACACATTGCAATGACTGAATTTTTGAAATATATAATCACAGTCAATTGCAATCATAAATAATATAATTATAATAATATAATTTCTGTCAAATATTTTACAGATTTCTTAGAAATATTGTTAAACAGAAATATTTCTATGAAATCATGTTTCATTCTTTTATTATTTTTAAAGTATAATTTAATCAAATGCGGCAATAATACTTGCACATTAGAAGTGTAAAAAACTTCATGTTGCACATGAATTAATAATGTATTTTTTTTATATATTATATTTATATTTATATAATGTAATACTGATATATATTAATATTATAATTTATATATATATATATATTAATATTATAGATTACAATATATTCCACATCCAGAGATGATTTATTATCATAATATCAATGTTTTTTATTTGGATGTTATAATAGTTACATAATATATTCCTTTACAGAAGAAAAAAAGTTATGTTGCAGGGCGTATTCTAATTATTTAACTAATAATTTATATATGTGCCGGTGATTATGAAAGTAAACTAAGTCAAAAATTTTTTAAAATTAATTTTATCACTTATTTTGTGTTATATCGATTTATAAAAATCAAAAAATATCAAAATAAAAAAATCATCAAAATTTTTTACTTAGATTTTTATAACCGGCACATGTAAGGCCACTATGAAACATGAGTTACTTTATAGATCAATTATTTTGGAAAGAAAAAGACAAGAAGAAATTCATTTTACAAGAGATAGTGTTGTGTTCTTGTATAGAAAATTATTTAAAATAAACAGTTTTTAATCTAAAAATTTATGTTTAATCTAAAAACTGTTTATGTTAAATAATTTTTTTTATGTTATGTTTATGTTTGTATGTTAAATAATTTTCTATACGAGTTCACTACAAATACATCTTTTTTTTCTTTTTTTCTTTCCAAAACAATTTATATAAATTATTAGTTAAATAATTTTTTTTTTTTACCAAAGCAATATATTATATAATTATTATAAGATCAAAATAAAAGCATTTAATAAATACAAGATATAACAACAAGACCATGCAGCTTTTCAAAAATTTGTGCTTATTAATATAATTCATCGCTACAGAATAGGCAGTCTTATAAAAAATACATTAATTCATGTGCAACATAAAGTTTTTACACTTCTATGTGCAAGTATTTTGTCGCATTTGATTAAATTGTGCTTTAAAAATAATAAAAAAAATAAAACATGATTTCATAGAAATATTTCTGTGAAATAATATTTCTATGAAATTTATGAAATATTTGACAGTAATAAATTATATTAAAATAATTTCTTGCATATTTCTTATTTTAACCAATTTATATTCAGCAATGATAATGCTAAATAAAAGAAAATTTGGAATGATTTAATTTCTAATCATAAATATAAATTTTCATGCATTTTCTACAAATTTTTTTGCAAATACTGTATAACCTTCAAAAACTAGGTATTGAATAGTGTTTTTTTTAAATATTATCAACAATTATACAATAATTATGTTATTTTTATAGCGACAGTGTGTTCAGTATATAGCAACGTTTCAATTGACAATTACATTGGTAACATATTTTGCGCCATAAATCTTTTTTTCACATTATATGTGGAAGTTAAAATACTTCGTATATACGCTCATATTTTTTTCCTCTCACTAACAACTTATGTTTCTTTTTTTCTTTTTTTAATTAAATTTTAAACTTACTTGGAATTCTGACTTACAAATATCTTTTTTTCACTATCAGACTAATTATTCAGATACAAAAATTATGAACGTATAGTTTGTCACGTCTCTACTACCTCTTTTTTATCGGATTCATTATCATCTAATAAATCCTTAGATTCTGATTCTGGAGAATCAGATGTTTCGGTTCCTGGTCTTTCAACAACTTCAATATCTGAATCTAAAAAAGAAAAAAATTGCAAACTTATTAGTATTTGTATATAGATCATATACATTTCTCAGATCAAAAATGTTGATAGCAAATCAAAAAACGACGTCATTAGAAAGTATACAATAATAAGAAAAATAAAGAAAATATACCTGTATCTGATTGTGTGCACGTTTCCAATTCAGTAAGTTTTATTGTACTTTCTTCATCTACGTTAGAAGGCGTAACTTCGGATGTATTCGAAGCTGTAGCAGGACTATTAATATCAAAATCTAATTTTGGAGCAAAAGGTTTCTGTTTCCTTGCAGGGTTCCAAAATCCACAATAACAACATCTATATGCTGTAAAATATATTTTTTCAAACATTAACATTTTTTATTAAATAATAATCTTGGAAAAATTCTCTCAAAAAAATGGGAGCATCTTACTCACCAAAATATTCAAATTCCTCTTTCAAAGCCATTCCATTGTGCGATTCACATTGCCGACAAATTAAAGCATAGCGATTCGCAGGACCATCACCTACTAAATAATCAACTAAGCGATCGATTACAGTCCTTTGGTGCGGCAATACAGGCCGTGGCAAAGGTGATCCTAAAATTATCATTACATATGTTCAATCATTAATTATTTTTATATGTTACGAATAAAATACAATATCTTAATAAGTCAATATGTATGTACATATTTACTTACGAAAACCTATGGATGCAGGATTGATTATTCTAGCACTGGACTGGAAAGGAATAGTTGAAAGTGGATTAGCCGGTTTAATATTCGGTGTCATTATACCAGGAGCGACTACGCCAACCTGCGGATGTTGTGGCTGATTTTGAGTTGATATGATTCTTCTTCTTACTTCTGCACTGCCTGGTAGAGGAGATATTACAGCCTGTGGCATAGGACGTCGAGGTGTTTCAATCAGCCCTGAGAACTTTTGGGTAAGCTAAAAACAAAAGCATTAATTTTATATTTTACATTGGTTTTTCATATTTGATAGTATTATATTTATAAACAAAATTAATGTTTTTAACATATTTCTTTTGTGATTAATTGTGTTTTTCACCATCCTCTATTTTTACTTTGATATATGCTGATAAATACAGATTCCGAAGTACAAACCTTTGGAGTTAACTGAAAAGAAAAAAAAATAATAATAAGAATAAAACGATACAAGAAAAGAATAGTGCAAAACAATATAAATTTTTACTTTATTTTAAACTTTCTTTATATCACTCAGCATCATTACACGTGATTAAATATCATTCAGTTTATGAATGATACTTAGACAATTATAAGAATAACAAATTTACTTACCGGTGACATGGTTAACTCATCTGGCGCAAACTTTAATAATATTTCTTTTGCTTTCTTATATGTTTCCGTTTCTGTCACTTCATTTAATATCTTCTTTTTTTCTGACATAAGTGTAGACAGCTTTTCTCGATTGTGTGTAATTTTACGATTATAATACCATGAAACCATCTTTTTTGTTAAAAGTATTCTAAAAAGAAAAAAATATATTTGATTATATTTTTTATCTAATATTAAAAATAAATACTTCATAATTATAAAATATAAAACCAAACTTACAATATTGGGAAAAGCAGCAATGGTGTTATGTAAAAGATTTGATCATACAATGAGGCTGGGAAGAAACAGAAGTAGAAAATGAATGCTATCATAACATAAAGCACGACTCCATAAATAATGATAGTTCCCACTATTTTCTTATGTCTCTGCTCTGTGATCTGTCCATATTGATGAATTTCTTTAAGTTGCTGTTAAAAGAAAAAGTTACATAATACTGTTTTATAATATTACATATATTGACATATATAATATTACATATATTACATAATACTTACTGAATCGAGATCCTCTAAAACTTCAATAGTCGTCTTTTTTTTCTGGAAATAAAAAACTTTACATTAGAATAATTTTGAAAATATTATATGAAAGTATGTCTTCATACAAGATATTTACTAAATTGTAATTGGCAAGGAGGTGACTTTTTGTGCCAAAAAAAAATAAATAACAATTCAAAATAAATTTTTTTCACAGCACAAAGCATCAACTTTGATCAAAAATATAATTAAAATTGGAGGAATAAAGATTTGTGAAATTATATCATAATTTATGTATATATATCATTTATAAAATTCTTATAGATATATATGCATATAAATCAGACACACATAAACATGATTAAAGATACAAAAATAATGAAAGTGAATATATATAACGAAGGATGTGAGGTCACAATCTATATCAGAAATGGCACAGCCTGTGTAACATACTAACAAATGCGACTAGTGACTGAGTTTTATAATAATATCACAATTATTTTTTTACTATCGATAAAATTCTGCAATTTTTTAATCTTTTTGAGAATTATTTTTGCTCGCAATGTTAAGATCTATGAATAATCAAATAAATAATAAAAAAATAATATAATTTTAATTTGTAAACCACATCACACCACTCATGCATTTATAATACGATTTCCTTTGACGTGTTTGAATTATGACAAAGTTCATTGAATGTTAATGTTTGAATGTGAATGTTAATGTTTCCCCACAGTAACTGTGCTGAATAAGTTATCAAGCAATTCTGTTTACTCATCGAATGGTGGTAAACGAAAACATTATAAGATTTGAAGACTTATAATTTACAACGTTTTATGACAGAAAAAAATATAAACAATTTCATTGTTTCGTGTCGTCCACGAACATGTTGAAAAAAAATTCTAATTTCGCGCCTAAGGCATAATTTAACAACTTTGAGCCCGTCGTCATCCGGCACAGATAGATGCTATAAATAGCCATGAATGACATTTAAAAATATTACTCAGCGATCGCTTAGCGCGATGCGCCCGGAGATAAACACGAGATGCAAGGTGTCCTCGCACCTGGTAAACATTTAGCGACATTGATGTTAACCTCGCGTAACACAAAACGACAGAAATGTGGAGAACCTTGAGCGTTCGGCCGCGTTACTCACCCGAAATCTGGACAGTATTATCCCCATGTTAACAATGCTATGGCGAAGGCGAGTTACGCGAAGGGATGCTCGACGACGTTAGTTGCACACGCGTCAGACCTGATTCGCGAATCCGACATAAAAGATCCTCCAATCGTATTAAAATAACCCACGTCTCGCAGCGAGCACAAGCCGGTTGTACTGCTCGATACGATCCAAATTTAAATCCCGCTGCACGTTTTTCCAACGGTATTTATAGCTCGGATCATCTATGAAATCGTGCGGCACGTCGGACGATCGCTATCATGTTCGACGCGAAGAAAGCACAGGCATCAACTTCGGCTGTCAGGGTGTCTGTCAACGAGGTGTTTGCATGCTTCGTGTGCTTGTACGACGAGTCGTTGAAGCCGGAATAGATATTTCGAAAATTCACAGCGATATACAGCAGCGCTTGATATATCGTGCTATCTTTCAAGCCAGATCGCGCTAGATCATGAGAATAAAGCAAAACCGATAGCTCACAACCGCACCATTCACTAACGTTCACTGTTTTGAACTGTTTGAAAGAGCCAACGACGAAGCGTCGAGACACTAGTTCTGCGATACGCCAAGATTGGCTTGTGCTCGACGGTGTGCTCGGTCAAGTATCGAGCCGACTATGTCGATAAGGAAGACCAAGGATTTCGCACACTTTCGCAATTTTATAGATTGGAGAAGTGAATGACACGGAAATATTAATCGTCTGGACGTCGGCGTGCGATTAATCACGACTAAATATATAAATATGAATATATTCATGAAGTCTAAACTCGATGGCCATTCATTGTGACTAAGCTTTTCTAAAGTAAAGTCGCATTTGAAATGTTTACGCGTTCCGAAAGTCATTAAAGAAAGTCTTCCTTTTTTTACACTGCACATCTGCGTAAAGGTTAAATTGCATTTGGTACACGTGTTATGTGTATGCACGTTGTCAAAAGCAGCGCTCATTTATCATACAATTATATTATTCTGAAAATTAAGACTTCTTTTGAGCGTTGAAATTATGAGTTTTTCTGTACATAAATCGTACGTAGCTTTATGTAATAACGAACGTGTGACAATATACAACCTTGAAAATCACACCGAAAATGTGATAAATTTGCCCGATCTGGAATCAAACAAAAGAATAGACGTACACAACAATGTGGACATTGAAACTTATCACATGATAACGTCTGTGACATTCTCGGAGGATGGGAGATATTTTGCGGTGTGTACGAATCGTAAACAACTGTGCTTATACGAGACAAAGGATTTGAAACTTTTGTCGAATCGAACACTCGCCAGAGCTGCCAGCAAAGTGAGATTCTCTTCGAACAATGATATCGTAGTTGCTGATAAAGCTGGAGATGCTTATTTATTTTCTACCAGCTCTCCAACGGAAAACGGAGTGTTGATTTTGGGACACATGTCAATGCTCCTTGACGTGCTCATCACGCAGGATATGAAATATATTTTGACGACTGATCGAGACGAGAAGATTAGAGTTTCTATGTTCCCAAACTGTTACAACATTGTGTCTTTTTGTCTGGGACATGCAAAGTTCGTAACGAATATCTCGGAGTTGCCTCATAAAAAGAACATCTTAATATCATGCGGTGGTGATGGAGTTTTTAAATTGTGGGATTACAAGCACGGAACTGAATTAATATCTGTAAACTTTTGCGATAGAATATCAAAATGTGACGTTGCAAAATTTAATCAAGATCTTCGTGATCATAATTGTGACGAAACTGTAGATATATTGCCTGTTAAGCACCTGAGAGTGTCTAGCCTTAGCGAAACGCAGTCTTTAGTTATAATAAGCTTTTACAGTAGCGAAGTACTATTAGCTTATAACATTATTAGTAACAATGAAACACAGCTAAAAGCAAATTATTTAGAATCTATAGCTGTAGGAGCTGAACCTATCGAATGTCTCTTACATGAACAATATTTGTGGGTATTGACAAATGTAGGACTACAAACATGCAAATTTGAAGACGGTAATTTTGTACATTATAGATTAGAGATTTTAAATTTAGTAACCCAACACCTTAATAAGTGTTGGGAAACTCTGAAAAGTACTATCGTCAATCAGAATTTGTTTCCAATTTTATATAAGAGAAAATATGATAATGTACAGGAATATCTAGAAAGGAAAAAAATCCGTCTTGCAAATACAGAATAGATTATAATACTATTTTTATAAATGTTGTAAGTATGATTGTGTTCAGTATTTTATAAAACATCTCAATAAACGTTTACAGTGATTAAAATCAGGAATAAAATGTATATTTATTTTGTTAATCTTATATTATACCAATATTGTTATGTTACACAAGTTTGCTAATGTTAATGCTGAATATTCTTTTACAAAAATTTTCTTTTATTAGAAAATATAATAACAAATAGCAAGCACGATATGCTGAATGACTCAACACTTAGATTATACAGAAATGAATAGACATCTAATGTCATTTTTTAAATATAAAATAGTGAATTACGTTAAATTTACACAGGCTTATAATCTAGTTTCGATTCAAGTTTCTTATTGTCAGAAACTTTTCTGACAGCTTTCATAAAATCTTCTTGTATTACATACTCTCTTTCTAACCGTATCGCAAACAGACCAGCCTCTGTGCACACGTTTCTCAAGTCAGCGCCATTGAAACCATCCGAAAGTTTGACCACTGCTTCATAGTCTATGTTTAACAAATAAAACATCTTTGTATTTCACACACTGTAAAATTAAAATTTTAGGCGGATAGATTACTTACCGATTTCACCGTGTTTGGCAATTGGCAAGGCATGAATCTTTAAGATCTCTAAACGAGCTTGTTCATTGGGTAGTGGTATTTCAATTTTTCTATCCAGTCTTCCCGGTCGTAATAACGCGGGATCCAAGGTATCAGGTCTATTTGTAGCCATTATCATTTTTACTTGGCCCAAAGAATCAAATCCATCCATTTGATTTAACAATTCCATCAAAGTTCTCTGAATTTCTCGATCAGCACTTGTCCCTTCTGAAAATCTGCGGCCACCTATAAATAAAAATAAATATCAAGACTTGTAAATTTCTCTCGATTTAATTATTCTTTTTATATAAATATACTTACCAATAGCATCAATTTCGTCCATAAATATAATACAGGGTTGATGATCGCGAGCATAATTAAACATTTCTCTAATCAGTCTAGCTGACTCTCCAATATATTTATCGACAATAGCACTTGAAACAACTTTCAAGAAATTTGCATCCAACTGACTCGCAACAGCCCTTGCCAGTAGTGTCTTTCCAGTACCAGGAGGACCGTACAATAAACACCCCTTAGGCGGAGTGATCCCAACTCTTTGGAAAAGTTCAGGGTTTAATAGTGGCAGTTCTATAACCTCACGTAATTCGCGTATTTGTTCACTCAAGCCACCAATTGCAGAATATGTAACATCACCAGGATCCTCGTGAGACATATTATAAACTAATGGATCAACCTATAAAGCAATACGTGAATATTCAGATGAGAAAAAATTAAGGATTAATTTCTTCATTTAAAAATTTACTCGTTAAAAAATCTCTTTACCTCACGTGGTAAATAGCGCATGATTGTAAGAGTTGTCATGTCTAAAGCAACTCTTGTTCCAGATTTTAATTTGTTTTTATCCAACTGGCGCCGACATCCAACAACATAACGTGGACCATTGGTTGCTTTCACTATGACTAAAAATAAATGTCTGTTGTCTTTTATTCCAAATACTTTAATTTCTATTTTAGCTATAAATTTGCAGATTATATTTATTTATATATACACATTATTGTAATAAAACTTAAAATAATCATCTTTAGAATTAAATGCACAACAAAAACAGATTTTGGACATAAATTGATTACTTACATTTTTCTTCTGTAAGCTGCTTTAATACTTCTCCAACAATCTATAAAATTAAAAGATTATAAACAAAATATATAGTCATAAATTATGGATTATTTTAATAATAAAAATAAACATGCCTGTCCAACACTTTGTAATGCTTTTAAGTCATTTTCAGACTTATCATACTGCTTTGTCAGATCTTTGAGGTGTTCCCTCACTAGAAAAAAAAATCAAATATAATTATATTTTTTGTATAAATTATATAATGTAATACAAATGCATCAATATGATCATAAAAAGATGTGTCCAAGATAAAACTAAATAAGAGCTTAATGAAATTAAGAGGGAGTGTGAGGTATAAGGTTATAAATCTCTCATATATTGTAAGTAAAATTTAGATAAAATTTACTATTTCGACAAAATTACGCTCACTTTCTTTAAGACGTGATTCGACTTCCTTATGTTCTAAAAGCTTTTTTCGATAATCTTGAAGAGCTTTTTCTCTAACAGAATCCATGGTGGCCGCCATTTTTACTTATTTTGCTGTCTAACTGTCATTGAAAGTCTTATACCTAGATGGATAAAACGTGCATCTAAATCTTACAAGAGGTGTTCCAAAAGTTACATACAATTGTAACATTGCGATTTGTCCAATATACGAGATGCTGAATTCCAATGAAAAAATTTACTTTTTAGGGACTTTGTTTAATGTCATTTTATCTCTGAAAAATAAAATTACACTTCGATGTTGGATGCAATGTAAATCCTCCATAATGTCTAGATTCTGACTGGAGGATTTCTACCGCTTTTTAACCCGTGAAATCAAATGCGGCGTACATACATGACGCGGTAGGTCACATATATTTGTAAAATTTCAATTTTTTTACATTTTGAGATAATATGGACGATGATTGCAACACAACGATCAAAGAAACGTTCCAAGAGCCACGGATAAGATTCTGGCTGGTAAGTCTCGGTGTACTTTTTAACATTTCACAAAATAACCACGATTAATTGCGATTAAATGTTTCAACCGACATTCGAATGTCAATGTCATTAATGTCAGTGTTACCAAATGATTTTCTTTTTAATTTTTTAGTCGTCATAATTCGAATTTTACTGAAGCCATGTACGTTAAAGTATTAACATTAATTGAAGCAGCTGTCTGTTTAATTTTCACAATAATTTGTGATTTTGTGTTTGCATTTCACATATTAAGCTATGATGAAATTTTTCTTGTCAAAAATAATGCCTAAACCTTGTTTATGTGTGACAGAGATCAAGAAAACGACCAAAAAGCGATGCAATGAGTGTTAGCTCAATGGATATATCTATGGAGTCTGATACAGGAAAGAAGAAGAAGCGCCGCAGGATTACAGAGGTTGCCAGTAGTATATTTTCCTCTTCCACAGCAGCCAGTAAACTGGGGAATGCTTTACACAGATCCTTCACAATGCAGCCAAATTCGTCAGATTTATCCATCATTGAAGATGAAGGAGATACTGGAACACTACGCAAGAAGTAATTATAGTTTGAAACTTAAATATCTCACTTTATAAAGTAAGTTTCTTTCTTCAAAGTATGCAATATACCAATTTCAGACTGAATAATGTTACCGCGAGTTGCAGCAACTTGACAGTCAGGAGTTGGATACTGGATGTTGCTCAGCCACTCAGTAAAGAATGCTTGAACAATAAATTAAGTCGGAGTGAAGTCAAAAGACAAGAAGCAATTTACGAATTGTACTGTGGGGAGAATGTACTGTTAAATGAGCTCTATGTATTGAGGAACTTTTATTATGAACCAATGTTATCTATTGATATTTTTACATCTGAAGAATTATTCACGTTCTTCGGTGATCTCACGAATCTCATTGAGATACACAGTAACTTAAGAGATGAATTACTCAAATTAAGAGACAGATCGGGATTCACAAAAAATATTGGTCCAACACTATTGAATTGGGTTAGTTAATTTCTTTTTAACATTAATACAATACTTCCTGTGTACCATATTAATTTCATCATTCTTACAGCTGCCAACATTGAAGAAACCATACTTGGAAAGATGCAGGACATTGATTTGGGCGCGACATTTATTGGATGAGAAGAGATTTAGCAACAAAAGATTTCAGTCATTTCTAAAAAAACGTTTAGAATCGCCACATTCCGTTGACTTATGGACTCACCTAGATGTACCGCGTTCAAGAATCGTGAAATATCCGCTGCTAGTGAAAGAAATCTTAAAGCATACTCCTGCTACTGATACGGATTACTTGCCACTGAAAGAAGCAAGCAACATATTGTCTAATTTGCTGACAGATATCGATTGCATCATGGGTGATGCCGAGTGCAAGCTTGCTCAATCAAAAATAAACGCAAAAGTCGAATACGATTCCGAAAAGTGTGTCGCTAATGCCACAGAATTAATTACAGAAGGTCAGCTTAAGGACACACGTGGAATAGTAAGTTCAAAATTTTGACATAACACAATACATTATCTAAGTAAATTTTTTAAATGTATATTGATATCTTTGCAGAAATATCACTGCTTCCTTTTCGACACTTGTTTTGTGATAACTCGCTCTACTCGGCGCGTTAACAAGAAGTACAACCTGGCCTTTCCTGTTATACCCAAGAAACAGATATCCATACAAGTGGAGGATAAAAACACTACAGAGATCGGTTTCAAGATCGGAGAGTATTCTTTCATAACAGAAGACGGGCACAAGAAAAGACACTGGGTTGACTCCTTCAATAAATTGCGTTCTAAAGTGAGCATCTCGGACAAAGTCTTCAACACTGATGATAAGGAAAATTTGTTGAACAACACAGAGGTATCAGAGTCAAATAATTATGTCACAAGGACATCATCAAGGACAATGTCCAGAAGAACTTCGACGAATAGTATAAACGACAATCATTTTTCCTTTTCCTTAAGGAAGAGTCTGCTTAAACAAAAGCGCAACAGTATCGGTTACATATAGTAAAAGCTCGCTCGCAATGTTTCTAATAAAACTAAAAATTCTTGAATAAATTAAATCTCACAAATCAAAATTACATTAAATAATGTATCCACATTAAAATAATTTCTGTTGTATTAATCTTATATAATCTTTTTTCAATTAATTAATATTTTGTCATTTCTTTCACGTATATGGATATGCACTAATAAAAATGTTTCTTATCAAAGAAATATTCCTGTCGATATATCATGTTCAGAAAAATACGACAAAATATTAATTAATTTGATAAGATCATAAATTGGTACAACAGAAATTGTTTGTATCCACATTGTAATTTTGATTTGTGAGATTTAATTTATTCAAAAATTTTTAGTAATAACTAGAAATTTTTTTAATGTTAATAGCAATATTACATTCCAGTGCGGCGGTATAAATTTAAAGATTTAATTTATAGATTTTTTTTATACTTACATAAATGTAAATAACATCGAGCAGTTATAATTTGCGATAACTTGCGATAACTAAGAAGGATTAACGGCTTATACGTTCCAAATTTTGGTTTCGGCTTTTTAGAAATCTAATTCACATTGTTACTTTTCGGTAATTAGTCTATTGAAAAAAGAGCAGCGTACACTGTGTGTGTATACATGCTGAATAAGCATGGCTCGAATATAATGTAATATATGTGTACAAAAGTTATTATCATCCGCTTAAAAAAATAATTTTTCAAGGAGTCGGTTTTCTATATTTATATTATTCATTGTACTCTTCAATGTATATTTTAATATTCAATAGAATTTATATACTCATTTTGCAATAAATTTGAAAAACGTAGTGGCTTATTATTTATATCGAATAACATCACTTCCATATAAAAAAATTTCAACATAGTCAAAGAAGTTTTTAAAAAATACAAAAATAGCAAAGGATTACTTATCAAATTTTTGTTCAGTATTGTATCTCACAACGATATCTACAAATTGTGCTAATTTTATTTAATCTATTGTAAACAGACAAATTGAATGGTTCATGAATCCAACTTGTAAAGATCCTAGAAAATTGGTCCATAAATCTTTTTTTTTTCAGCTTCAAAATTCGGCTTTTCAAATCGATACCGTTGCTCTCTCAATCCTTTAAAGGATTATTGTATTATTAAATATAAAATAATATTTTAAAGAATTATTATTTTTAGGATATGCGAAAACAATCTTATGACTTAGTAGGTTTCATTGAGTTTCCATCGGGATAACGTTTCTTAAAAGCTTTAATGAGTTGAGGATCAATCAAATGAACTCCATCCACTTGGTTGCCCAGTGTGATCCAATTGGGCTGCACATTATGCGGTCGACCGAACAGCTCAATCTTCCTGGTGCCAGGACTCATGCGCTCGATGATACCATAGATTTCGTCGGGTTTGTGGCTAGTCGCGCGTACCTCGGCGACGATCACGTCACTATCCAGTCCACGATTGATACGAGGATTACCCTTCATGCCAACCAGACAATGCTCTTTGCCATGATTCAACCAATGGCCCGTCCTACCAGTCCGTATTATCCTTTGCAACTGATTCGTCTTCACCCAAATGATTTCATCGACTCTTTCATAGCCCCACAGCTGCAGGCACTCCCTTCCCAATTCCATGGCTCTGCCGGTTACCCATAAAAACAGTAATCCTTCATCTTGAAGCGCTGGAATCCCTAGCTGCCTCATTTCATCGTCCGACATGGTGCCGTAAGGTAACTCCATATGAATATCCCACGGTGGATCGGCCATGATTACAGCAAACTTGCCGAGAACCGTCATGTCGAGATAACGCAGATCGCACTGAATCCATTGCGGTGGATACAAAGTCAATTCGCCTACATTGCCGCTGGAACCACTGCCGTTTTTACTATCTAGATTCAGCGTCTTGTTAGGCGCGATGTTGCTCGGACTGTCAGAATCATTGGCCTCCTTCGGTTGAGCCGTGGGACCATCCACTTCGTAATGGACGTACCTGTGCAAAATAAAAAAAAAGGATAATTAAATTAATCAGAACTTGATCGTAAGCTGATAAATTAACAATATTTGTCATATCCTTACTTGCAGGTATCCATGTGGAAGCATGTATTGAGGAAGCTACAGTCACCCAAGGACTCATCCGTGTGGCTCTGTATGATCTTCTTAAAGTGTAGCTTTTTGCACTTCTCCGCGAATCCCGGACCGCCATTCAGCTTTACACAATCCACTCTAGTACCATGTGGACAGAACTCCATGACCTGGGCGCCTCCCTGTGAGCGAAACCGTTCCGCCAGTGATTTCTCCTTGGACGTCTGCTTCGACAGTAAGTCCAAGATCTGTTCGCCGACCTTCTTGCTCTCCTTCTCTCTGATAGTCGGCATCGAGATCAAGGACATGATGTCTTCGGTGTTCTTCTTGTCCACTTTTGCTTGCTTGTCTGGAGGCACATGATCGTTCAATTCAGATGCAGATGTTTCTACACTTTCAGCATTCTCTGTATCGTCAGATTGAGACTGGCAGGATGATTGGGATTCTGTTACGGATAATACTGTATACCCAAACACTCCATTCTCTGTGACTTCTTTGATCCTAAAAATGCATGCGATTTATATATCTTGTGTTAAATATATTACACAGTGACAGAACAGAATTATATTGTGTGGTGCAATACTATGATATAAAAGTACACTAACTTAACTATATCTTGCGCAGCTAATTTCTCCAGAATCTTGTGAATATCGGAAGAGGACACATCGGCGTTGAGATTTTTACGTAGTTGATCTATTAAATCGGCAGATGTTATCGGTAAATTAGGTAAAGATTCATGCAGGATGCAAAGTACATCTCTTTCATATTCGCTGTGATCAGAACGTGAAGATGTATTGGAATCTGTAAAAGGTTTTTATGTCAAAATTGTGCGAATAAACTCTCTCTTCTCGCTTAAGAATTTCAATAACAAACAATATATTTGGTACCAGGACACGCTGATTCCGTCAAGGCGGATGGAACCGGCGTAGAAGTGAGCGTGTACAATTCATGCCTCTCACGCTTCCTTTTCTGTAGTTTTTCACGATAGCTGTTTCTCTTTATTTTGATCGCTTGTATTTCCTCAAAAGCATCTGACATGGTTCGTATAGATTTCACATAAAAACATACTTTAGAAATGTGAAAAGCAGTTGCAAGTAGTCATTAGATTGAGCATACTTCTATATATTCTGAATTTAATATCATATTTAACTTTGTGCTTTATTTATCTTTGACATTTTGTTTCATCTAATATACTTCAAATATTTACACAACTTGTTGATATAAAAACAAATATCGTAACTTTCGATACTCTTTAATTTAACCTTTCTATCAGTCGGCAAAGTGCCGGAAGTTATGTTAGACCGGGTTTTCGACGCATGCGTGACGGAAATGTTATCAAGAAAGTTGCCACTTCCTCACAAACAGAAATATAGCTGACAGCTAGCAGCTGGTCGCTCTGGCTAGTGTGACCAGATTTGAGACGCAACAGCAGCAGCAGGAATGGAAGGGTAAGGCCGGCGTCACATAGAACCCGTAATCCGTAATCCGCACCGAAAGTCCGCAAAAGTTACTAGGGATTGCGTCCGTAACGTTACGTGTGTTTTATCTCCTTGTGTCCCATGGAGCCGTAATTCCATGAAATTTCCGTAAAAGTTACTAAAAGTTACTAGTTATTACTAGTAATGCTTTTTTTAATTTTATTTATTTAACTAAATTTGACGTATTTAATTAAAATTTTTGTTAAAATTATAATATATTCTGTAGTTTTCTTATGAATAAATACAAATAAACAATTATAATTTGTTAAATAAAAATAGTAATACCGTTACTGTGTATTTACGGCTCCATGGGACACAAGGAGAAAAAACATACGTAACGTTACGGACGCAATCCCTAGTAACTTTTGCGGACTTCCGGTGCGGATTACGGATTACGGGTTCTATGTGACGCCAGCCTAACTGCATACATGCGCAAGCCATACATGTGAGCTCCGCGCTATTTTTTGTATCTCATAGAGAATCATATGCATGAAATAAGATAAAATTAATAGATTCTCGTTTAATATATAAACGCCAAGTCTAAGGGCGGTATTCATAGTCCGTTCTTATATTCAAGATTGTCTTAAGCACGAACTTATATTCGCTCTCTTTGTCAGACACAATCTATGTGTGACGAAGAGAGCGAATATAAGTCCGTGCTTAAGACAACCTTAAATATAAGAACGGACTATGAATACCGGCCTTAAGAGGCAAGCAACATGAGGGAGGGAACACCGCACACCTGCGCAAGCCACGTAGATGTGAATTCCTCTTAAAAAAGCATCTCCAGGATGTCTTAAAGACGTCTTAAAAAGACATCCTAAAAACGTCCTAAAAAAGATATCAATTTTTAATTTCTTTAACGATTGGCATTCTGAAATTTGCAATAAAAAACTTTCTAAAAATGTTAAAAGAAGCGTTTTAATCATTTAAGTGTTTTACGAGCATCTTAACACTGTCAAAAGTAGCGAAAATAAGCATGTAAAAAAGTTACGGTTATCCATTGGAACGGCTCGAAACGCTACATTTTAGCTAGGATTTTTAGCAATTGGTAATAGGAGCATATGATGATATAAGAGTTCGCTCGAGTAGACGGAGGTGTGTCTTAGCGGTCCCAGAACTCGGCAGAGGAGAGCTTAGGTAGTGGGGAGCCCTCTTTGGATTGGCTGTTGCCTTGCATGTCTCCCCTCTGCCGAGTTCTGGGACCGCTAAGACACACCTCCGTCTACTCGAGCGAACTCTTATATCATCATGTGCTCCTATTACAAATTGCTAAAAATCCTAGCTAAAATGGAGCGTTCAAAAATGACCGTTCCAATGGATAACCGTAATCCTACATGCTTATTTTCATTACTTTTGACAGTGTTAGGATGCTCGTAAACACTTAAATGATTAAAACGTTTCATTTAACATATTTAGAAAGTTTTTTATTGCAAAATTCAGAATGCTAATCATTAATGAAATTTAAAAACGACGTATCTTTTAGGATGTTTTTAGGATGTCTTAAAGATGTCTTTTTTAAAGAGGAGTTTAAATGCATGTGGCTTGCGCATGTGTGTGGTATTCTCTTTTTCATGCTGCATGCTGCTTGCGTCTCAAATCTGGCGTTACTGGCTGGCAATTGGCAACTCTGACTCTGGCGACTAGTGGTCCGGAGTCAATCAGAGTACAGATGTGAACAGACGTATTATCGGCACGTGTCGATTTGGTCAACTATAACTTTTACTCTGTGAATTACGATTGTTATCAGTAAGCTTGAATGTACATAACTATTAACGTGCATCACAAATTGTAATCGGTATTATTACGCGTTAACTTTGAATAAGAATTATTTTTTATACTCGAGTTAACCTCAAATATGGAACATACCAAACATTTTTTCTTCTCGGTCACGCAGCGTGTTTTTAGTAATTGGACAGCATTAAGGGTGAGCTCATATAATATCTCTGATATACAACATTAACGCTAACAAGATTGAAAATCGTTTTATTACGTTAACGTAAAATGTTAACACATAGCGGACTAGACATTTCATTGTCTTAACCACATCCAGTATTTCTTTTATACTCTTAGAATATTTTATTTTAAACAAGTCATTATATTTTTTCAATATTCCAGTATTAAAATAGTCTAATACAAGCTTATTTAAAATAAAATATTCTAAGAATATGAGAGGAATAAAAAATGTAAACATGACTGTATAGGTTAAATCTCTTGAAAAGATTAACATAAGATTTCGTTATTTTTAATTGTATCTCCTGTTTTTCTCTCTCCTTCTTTTTGCATCAAATATAAAGTGCACTAAAACTTGACTTATTTTCAGTTGGCAGTGGAACATGATATGGGTTCAGTAGAAAGTGCAAGACATCTCTGTAATGATGTAACAGACATGATGTATTCCTGTTCGTTGCTTTTACTATTTCTAATTACATAGTAATATTATTATGATAAATCATATTTTTTTTTCTTTTAGCGAATGAACCTAAGATTTTTGATCTTGCTGAATACTTAGATGAGTATTTGAATGAGAAATTTTCGACTGAGCTGGAGGATGAGAGCCACTTTGAAGTAGCTGATGAATTAGAGAAATTTTTTCGATATTTTGAAAACCGCGAAATGGTCAAAGCAGAACAAGAGTTTAATATGTTACCACCAGTACAATCTTGGATTTACACAGATCGACACATTAATGATCCTAGTGTTTCTGTACCAGCAGAAAGTAAAAGCAGTAATACTAATATTGAAGAACAAGATATGGATGAAGATGAGGAATCAAATATGGATGCAGATGATGACACAGTAGATATGAACTTAGATAAGAATAAGGATACAGATGGTTGGACTCTGGTAACAAATAAACGAAATAAATAGCTTTTTATTTATACAAAAAATATCTTTAATTAGCAATATTTTGTTATAAAAAAATGGAAAGACATGGGATAAGAGAGAAAGTTGCATACTTCACAAGCACAATACAAGAGGAGTGCATTTGTTTCACAATCATACAAATTTGAGTTCTAGAATTGTCTACAAAAATATTTTCATCTAAACAGACCTTCAAAATGTTCCTAAAATGTCATTTAGCGAGCGTGTCTTCTATATCTGAAAGAAAAATAAAGAGTGAATTTGTTTCAGTCTACTCTGTTTAATAATTGCAACTGTAAAGACATTACCTTTTCCATTTTGAGAAAGATGAACACTATAATAGTCGTTCTGATATTCCATATTCTGATTTTTTTGCTTGTTTTCTGATTTTCTCTCGCCAGGTCCCGCTAAGCTTAATATCACTGGTAGAAACAGCAATCCGTGAAACAAACCAAACAGTACTACGGATGTAAATAGCTAAAACAATATAAAACATGTACTTATGTATATATGCATACTCATAAGACAACATACTTTTGTTTTATTGTTTGACGATAATTGTATTCTTAACTATATTGATTCCATACCCTAAAGAATGTCATAAAAATGAAAGCCTGGCTAAAACCTAGAAAGACAAAGGCAAGAAACGTGCTCAAACCACCATTCAATACTGCTGGTCCAATAACACTAAGTGATGTCAGAGCTCGTTCTGCAAGTATAACAAGATAGACAAAATTTTAATACATAATCGAATTGTATTATAAAATTTTGAGAAATAATAATCTACTCTTTAAGTCATTATTTAAGGATACATTTGCTCTGCAACAAGTTTATATAATTGTATCAATCATAAATTAATTGATTTTTTAATAATTTTTTTTTTAGTTAACTAATGTCAATTTAAATTCTTAAAATCTTCTAGAATAAAAATAACCTTGTTTACTGCCGCTCGAGCGTATAAATTCCAATCCGATGTGCGCGGCGTAATCGACCGACAATCCAGCGCACAACATGATTATAATGCTTGATGTAAGTTCTACAGTCAATCCTAAAAAGTACATTGAGCCCAGAAGGTCGACGAGTGTGAACAATACGCAGCACATCACCCAGAACGACGCAATTAAATTCCTAAGTAGTACCGATGCCACCATTCCTACCATCAGTATTTCCAGACACAAGTTCCTAGTTAATTCCTCGCTAATTATCTGCAAAAATAATTAATCAGCAATATATTTTAAAAAGATTTCAACAAAAAGAATTTTCTTTACCTTATTTGTCACCCATCTTAAATAATCTACCGAGTAAATTGCAACGTGTCCGTGAGTGAAGTTCACCGACTTCGCGGCATCTCTGATTGCCTGCAAAGCCTTTATCTGGTCGGACGATGTGCCTATAGAAATGTGTTGCACTGGAATCTGCGAAGTCTGAAATTATTCGACTCGTGAAAAAATATTTTGCATCTGCGGAATGTATAGGACGTATCATCCTATTCTACGTACTGTGATATAGTAGTCGTTAAACGGTAATTTACTGAACTTCATATCCTGAATGTACGCTTGGCCTTTCCCCGTGAAAAGTAGATATTCCGTGAGAGTATTGTAATACTCCTCTTTATCCTCGATGTATTGCGCTGATAGAAGATTGTATCATATTATTATAATAAACAGTATTTATTTACTAAATATTCATGCTAAGTCTCTTTATAACAAGATCAGATTACCTTTGCCAGTCATGTTCAACCACTTCTCATACGCCACGAACCATGGGTCGAGAGTGTAATTACTGACGTACGGGTCCCGTTTGACATTGTCCACTAGTTGAAACAGCGCTTCGCGATCCTCATAATAATCGACGCCCGTCAGATATATATTCACGCTTTTGCCGTATCTTGGAAAATATTCCACCAATTTGTTGTTAAACTGTACTGGGTAAGAATCTTGATTCAAGTATACGAACACATCAAAGTTCTGTTGTAGATGAAATATCGCCCAAGTGTTAATGCACAGCAGGGCGGCGGTAATCAGCAGAATGATACTTTTCATATACGTCCTCAAAATGAAAGGTCCGATATACTTTTCAAAGGCGAATCGCTGGAAGTTCTGCTTGCTGCACTGGTTCGGTCGCCAATTAGGACGCGGCCGGCAGCAGCAACCGTCCCTCTTCGCTGCCAGTCGCCTCTCGTCGAACACCAGACAACTGACGAAGAACATGATCTCGTAGATATAGAGGAACAATATACCCATCGTGGCAAACATACAAAAAGACTTCAGGAACGGCATCACTGTCGTCATGCCGATGGCGAAGACCACGATGTTAGTGAATGATGTCGCAGTGATAGACATACCTGTAAACGTAAGCGAGGCACTAATTAAAATGTTAATATGATTATACGTGCCAAGATATGCCACATCCAGTCCAGTCTTAATATGAATGATAAGCTTTATTAGCCTTTTAGTGAACGTTCGTCATTTTTAAACTGATTACGGAATATATGCGTAGCGCGAATTATTTCCGTTCCCTTTAAACTTGCCAAAACTCAGTCGCACCTGACACTTGAATGGACTTCGCGATGCGGGCAGGAATGTCTAGAGCCTTGTCCGCCTCAGACATGGTCTCGAGGCTCTGCATGATGACGAACATGTCGTCGACACCGATGCCGAGTAGCAGGAACGGTAGGATCGGATGCACCGGCCCGTACATAAATCCCATGTAGAAGCATAGCCCGTAGGACGACAGAAGGGCCTGGCCGACCACGCAGATCCCCATCAGGGACAGATATACCCGCTGTTGCATTACGTTACAACGACCGATCATCACGATCACGTAGATCGAGATCAGCGACATGCCGCAGAACAACATGATCATGTTGCTGTTGACTATCTCGTGCAACACATCGTCGTAACTGCGTAACGTTACCGCGTAGATCTCCATACCCGGTGAAAAGGTGCGATTCGAACGTAGTACCCTATTGATGAATTCCACTTCCCATTCCGGCGAGTGCGGATTGGACTTCTTCAGCATCCAGAACAAAATAGTCGCGTTCGCACTTCTCACCAATCCATTTTCATCGTACTCGACGCCCGCCAGCAACGATGTGATGTCAGAAAATATATCTTTGGTTTTCCTGCGTAGAGCAAATTGACATGTAAAAAGAGTAATAAAAAGATATATCTATTAATTTAACGTTTAATGTAAACTTTATATCTTAATTACGCATGATGGTTCATTGAGAGAAAAGGAGTTGCAAAAAAGTAATAATAACAAAATAAATAAAACACAATTAAACGCGATGTTAATCATGTAATTGCATACTGCACAATTAAATTAAATTAAATTCTTTAAAAAAATTTTTTTAACTGTCTTATTCAGAAATGAAAAGCTTACTTTTTCATCATAATCTTGTTTTTTATAGAAACTAAAAAATATATTATGCTATAAATTATATTAAATTTTATTATATTTTGAGCGACTTGATTACGTTGACTTCGATATACAAAATTTCAGATACTCACGTATTTTGCATAATTGCTGTAACGTCTTTCAGTATCTCTAATTTCGTCAAGCTATCAATATCCTTTCCACCGTTTTTCTGCCATAATTTTAGAAGCGACTTTTGGACACAAGGTTCCTTCGTCATCATATTATCTATAATTGGTAGATACTCCTCAGGAAACTCGGTTTTATTCATCGTTTCCCAATCGTCATTTTCTTGAAACCATGTGAAATGTCTGTAATATGTCGCAAACATTTCAATAAATTTATATAAAATAATGATTAGATATTTTCACGTATAAAGAAAAAATATTTACCTAGCACACACATCTTTCCAGGAATTATTATTTACCACTATACTCTTCACATCGTTTTCGATGTCTCTTATCTGTAATTAATTATCGATCATTATGATGTAATCATTATCCAAAAGAACGATTTACAACGTGCTTCTTCACCAGATCGAAATGATTAATTTCACAAATATTATAAAAATCAACAGTGAGCAATAGAATTAATTAAATCATTCATTTAATATAATGTATATAGTTAATTTTATTTAAATGGAAAAAATGCATAAAGAATAATGCTCGACAGTGATTGATCTTTAAAGTTAAAGAATTAAGAATTATGATTGGCCGAAAAAATTTTAAACAAATGTGATGAATAATTAACTTGACTATCACGAGGAAAATCGTGTGATTAATGTGAAAAAGAACCTTCGTTGATACTCGTATAATTCATGATCGCTTATGTACCGATCGCAGCACTTTAGGATCCAGCACATTAGGGGCAGTGATGAGGATACTTTCGTATCTGAGATCGTCTCGAAAGTGCTCCTTCACCCAGGCGGCATCCTTGCGAATTGTAGAACCGTCTGGCAAGAAAAGTTCGACATCGTCGGTCTCCTCCCTCCAGAACAATAATCCGAAACCACAGACAAAATTTAGGCACACGGATATCATCAGCCAAACCCATGGTTTGGTGGCTATACTATATCCGATTCTGCAGAATACACAAATATAAAAAATAAAAAAATAGAAAAAATGAAATAAAACGCAATTTTAAAAATAAGAAATAATAAATGTAACACAAAATTGATAGAAGTACAAATAAACTCAGTGAATCATTGATTTCGAGCTCGTCAAGAAAACTATTATTAAAATTCAATTTGATGCCAGCCAAACACTTTATGCATTAAATCATATAAATCTGTAATCGTGAGACAATAATCGATAAGTTAACTAACGTCGAGGACAATGATCTTCAAATTGAATAACAAAAGAGAAGATGAAGATGTCGCCAGAATTGAAGATCTTGTATATCTTGTATGTCTTGTATATCTTGTAGATATTGTACATCTTAGCAATTCGTTTTAAATAATGTCTTTCACTTTTCATGTCTACTAAAACTATTTACAATAACGCGCGTTTCTGTTCATTTGTTTCTGAATTTATAATCTATTCTTTCTTCAATATTTGGAAAATATTATATATTTATATAAAAATTCTATATGTTTAAGAATTCAATATCCACTCTTAAAAAAGACATGAGAAGTCGATAGTCGAATATATCGAAATCTCGAAAGAATCGAAGTGTATTGTTGCAGTTTTATCGCGACGCATAAAATAATATATAATATATATTATATATTATTTTATATAATTATATATAATTTTATTATTTCGTCCTAATTACCAAATATTTGGTAATGGGAGCTAAATCATTTCGTCTTAATTACCAAATATTTGGTAATGGGAGCTAAATCATTTCGTCCTAATTACCAAATATTTGGTAATGGGAGCTAAATCATTTCGTTTTTCATTACCAAATATTTGGTAATGGGAGCTAAATCATTTCGTCATAATTGCCAAATATTTGGTTCAGTAATTTGGGAACGCTTCTCCAGTGCAGTATCCAGCAAAATGGCGGCAACTGGATACTGCACTGAGTGAGACAAAATGGGAACGCAGCCATAGTTTGATAGCTTGATAGCGAAGGTTATTTTGACGGTTATTTAAAATAAAAAAAAATTTATCTAAATATTTAGATTTCTTAATTATTAAATTATTACAATAAGTGCGCGCGCGCATCGCGCGCCTTTATTGTTCTAGTTTACTTATAAATTATGCAACATTGAAATAGATATTATATTTCCATTAATTTTTTTCGCATAAATTTTCAGATAGCTTCAGATAGCTATATCGATTTATTTTCACAGTTTTTTAACGAGAATATCAGAATAAAGATATGTAAGGTATGATTATAAAAGAGTAAACAAATGATACTTAGCACTTGATATTGCGTAAACCTATAATTTTGTTTTTATCATTATTTTTTTATTTTTTCAGTTTTTATCATTATTTCGTATTCTTCGCACCATATAATTAAAATGCAAATACATGCATATTGATTGGTGTTTTATTAATTTTCACAGCTCAGCTGATTTTATTTTTTATGTCATAATTATATTACTATTATCGTTATGGAATTTTTTAAATTAACGCCTTGTGTTTTGTTTACAGGTGCAAAATATTTCAAAATTTATTTCTAAATACAAATTAAATGCATTTTTTATAAGATAACTTCGGATTGCACGATTCATGTTTATCGACTAAAATAAAATAAAATTTTTGTTTAATGAAATCTGATATTATTTAGGCCACTTGAACTACCAATTAATTGCTAATTAAGGACAAAGTAAAAAGTAAATACAAAGTAGACACGCATCTCCACACGCATCAATAAAGCTTGTAAGATTGTTTTGCGCTGCCTTATAAAGCTAATCTCTGATATTCTCAGACACGCAAAGACAATTCTAAGAACGCACAAAATCTCAAGAAATTATGTACATCAAAAATTAACGATTTTCATAGTTTCGGAACATGCTATAAAGATTAAAAAGAGATAATGTATTAATGTCAAAGTAAAAGTAAAATATCAAAAACAAATGATAAATTCTTAATGATAGATCATTAAAAAGTGCAGTTTATATTCATATTGAGGATATCTGTTAAAAACAATGCTGCTGCAGTACATCTGCACTAAGCAATGAAGTCATTTAAAATTATCAAAACACAAAATAAATCTAGAATATAAAAATAAATTTAAAGAATAGTAAAATCTAAGTTTCAACGAAATAATTTTTTTGATATACATTGCAAAATTTTAATGTTATTTGATTTCAATTTTTTTTAATTGTTAAAACATTTAAAAAAAATATATATATAATTTTATACAACTTTACTGCTTGATAATTATTTTCTGAGAACTCAAAAAATTATTAGCATCAGATCAAAGTTACCATCCAGTAAAAAAAACTGCTTAAATATTTGCTGAATCTGCACAATATTCTTAACATAATTACATATTAACCCAATTAATATATGTGACTATGTCATCTATTTCTCTTATTTGTATCTGATTATTTCAGTGTGTGACTCCAGAAACAGATTTATGAGAATGTGAAAGAAAGGCTCGAACCTGATAATCGCGCGTTATTATGATACATTAGATGCGATATAAAATTAGAATATTTTCTTTGATCCTGATTTGAAAATAGAATCATATATAAAAATGAATAAAAAGAATTATATATCGTTGCAATTAAAACATATAATATAATTATAATTATTAATATATAATTTTACCATAAGAAATATTGCAGAACATATTTTCAAAGCGGATATTTTGATGGATTCAGAACTGATCTTCTTTATTTTCCTTGAATTCTTCCAAATTGATAATGATAAAAATTCTGAATTGCCTGGCTATCTTGTAGGGACTTTACACGGTCAATAATACTGTCATTACTTAAAAGTAATCACTGAAAGTAATTACTTTCAAGTGATAACTGTATTATTCAACGAAGTAAAGTAAGACAGTAACTGTAATGATATACAATAATGACAGTATTATTAAACGTGCAAGTCCCCTTTAGAGATCGATAACAGCAGGTGCATCACTGCATGTGTTTACCAAAGCACCAAATAATCAAGCATGCAATATCATTTGCTCCGATAATAGCAAAATATCTACAATTATTAAAGTATTCGAAATATTTACAATATCTATAGTATATGATTATTTTTTTTACTCAGTAACATAAAATTACAATTGGCTTGCGTTTCTTGTCCTTACATTTTATGTAATAAAATAACTTATAATATTTGCATACATAATGGACTGTACTGCAATTAGTAAGAAACTATGAAATTGTAATAGATTCGCAGTATTCATTTCATTTAATCATTTTATTACATTTGCATTTAACAAACACAATTTTTTTATCGATATTTACATCACATAATGAAGCATGATCTTGCAAATAATAATGTTGCAGCACAAACTGCACAAAGAATTAAATCGATCATTGTGGAAGAAACAGAAGCGCAATCTGCAGCTTACTCAAAGTCCCTTTAAATCTCCTCAAAGGTCCCTTTAATCATAAGTTTCATCTGCCTCGCGGCGCCTTAATATTGCGAAAATTAACAATAGACGAAATAAAACGTACTTTTCATTAACGCAATGTAAGCAAAAAAAGATAATGGCTATTCATATCCAAATTAGTGTTTATATTATAAAATTTAATTAATTTTCTTTTCCCGAGAAGAATATAATAGGTGATGCAGCGCGTGATATTTAAACAATGCGTAATAAAAATAAAATATATGTCATATGAGAATTAAAGATTCGACTGCTTTAGAATTCCGAGGACAAGCAAGATGCTCCGGGCTTATCTGAGTGACCTATCTGATCTGTAATTCATCATTCCTCTAATGACTTAAAGTCGATTTTTGCTTTTAAGTTTCGGACTTTCGACGTTCAACGCCTTTGCAATGAATCTTAAGGTGTCAGAAATTTTTTGCTGTAAAATTTATTTAAAAAATCGTAGAAAATTATCTATTTATTAAGAATTATTATTATTATTATTATTATTATTATTAAGAATGTGATTAAAAAATAACTACTCGCTTTCACTTCAGTCATATTTTCTAGATTTTATTATGAGAATCATGTTCTAAATGTTAAAATAAAATAAATGCGCATCCGTTTGAAAGTAGTCATCATTCCAACAGAAAATACATAAACATACAACCGAGTAGACTTACGATAGCATTACTACGCACCAATAAATTCAACTATATTTGTTTCAAACTCGCTCTTTTCAGCTGTTTATATTACATTTTCTGAACTCAAAACAGAATAAATAAATAAATAAATATAGATTCAGACTGAAGTAAGTCGAATAGACATTGACAATGAAATTGAATTTTCAGAGGAAATAGAATTTTAAAGCTGAGAAAAGATATTAAACCGAAACTGACAGACTTTCCGAGTTCGGAACTCCGCAATTAACGCGGTGAGCGAAAAGCAATATGGTGTGAATAATAAACAATACATTCTCCGATGGCGGGAATCGAGCGATGACGTTGCAAGGGGACCTTTTCCTTTCGGTATGTGTTACGTTACGTGCGTGTCCGCCCGGGCTTCCGGGGGGAGGTTTTTCTTCCCGTGGTACACACGTTGCACACTCACCGATAGAATATCCGGTCGACGTTGAAGTAAAAGTCGAGCAGCATCTCTTTACTCAAGCAGCTCCACATGACGCTGGGTATTCCACGCTCGTCGATCATCGGTGCGTCGGTCATCAATCGGTTGACACGGTGAGCCTCCATTTCATCGCTGCGTCCAAATGTTGATTGCATGCGCGAGTACCCTTGTTGCGGACCGATTGACTGCTTGAATGGAGCGACCCGCGAATCTCCGCGGCATTCGCAGTAGTGCCGAGTCCGTCGCGTCGCGCGGGGGTATGAATTATGCACGTGTCGATATCGATGCACGCGTCGCTGACAGTACATTAATTGTCTAGTGACTGGCCGGAGTGACACTCCATGCTGTGTTAATGACAGCATTAATCCGCGCCTTGTTATTAAAAAAATATTTCGTGACTCGAGCAGTCATTAGCCAGGTTGATAGACAAAATATCACAATCAACAATCCAAATATATCGATAGATAAAGAAAATATTTACAAAGATAGTAGGAATAATTGGAGTTCAGTAGAAAATTGAGGAATTCTATTTTTATCGTTGCAGAATCAGTTGCTATTTTCTTATTAATTAATTTAAATAATTAAATTATTTGCAAAGTAGTTCTGTAATATCTCATTGAGAAATGCCTGACTACTTTAAACTAACATTATAACAAGCGACGTTATCTTGTTAAGTGCGTGCGAACTTTAATCATATCAAGTGTTATTTTCTACAAGGATTGTTTACAAAATGAAGAGTAACTTTTTATTACAACTCTTTCGTCCGAGTTCTTGAACCATGCCCCGTAATCAGATTAAAACAGATTAGTAACGTATGCGCGGAAAAAAAATGGCAATATCATATCTACATAAATGATATTCAATTTGCACATAAACTTACGTATCGCGTGATCAATTTGTAAACCACGCACAAAATATCCGCAAATTCTATACACAGAGAATCGTCACAATTAGATGCGACAATATAGGAAAGTGACTTAAGGAAATATCTTCTATAATGGATAAATCGTCAAATAAAAATTGCGCATTAAAAGTGCATTAAAAGTAAATCTCAGATTTACGTTTTAGTTTCGTTTTTCCCGCGAAAGAAAATCTGACCGCATACTTGTTTCACTTAAAATAGAGAAAGTGCAAAAAGTTACATCTAAAGCAGGCAGTCTCGCAGTCTGCAGCCCACTTTATCAATCGTCCGAAATAATCGTTGGTATTGAAAAACTCGATCCTGCCGCCGACCTTTCGTGCACTTATAAACTCGGAAACTGTTGATACTGTTACATAACAGTCCAATGTACTTACAAGAAGCCGCGCCAGTGCATAAACACCGAATGTACATAATGACGTATCATCAATTAATCATCAGCGATACGCTAACGCCAGCATTTCCTTCACAATAAATACGGAGATACATCTCTCACGCTTTCCTTTCTATTAATTAGAATTAATTGTAAAAGTTTAACGATACACAGGTGAAGATGTGTGACATGACATATGCGGTATCGACCGTCACGCAATTATAATTGCAAGTTTCGCGGTCGCAATAAAAATGAAACGTCCATTGAAAAACGGTTTCTATTTCGTCGCTAGACGAATATAAAGACGAATATAAAGTATTCATAGAGAAGCGATGACGATATATAAATGAGTATACACGAGGTCATGATTCTGAAACTCGAACTTCCGCTCGCCAGCGCGATAACGTTATTTGCGACAGAGATACTTTGCATAGATACGCAGCTCACATCTGTCGAGTACGACTGTCCGAAGTTTATTTCGAAACAACAACAAAGATAGTATTCATCAGTAAAAATAAAATTAAGGGACAAATTATTATATTTCATATTAAGTGCGATGTCAAAGAGTCGATTAAAAATATTCGTGATGCTAGCGTAAAGTTGAAGTACTGTCGTCCGGTTTCGACCGATTTTGCCGCGAGAAAAAACCGGATGATCACACTTTCATTTAAACGCGATACTGACTGAAAATGGTAATGCGAGCTGACGTATCCCATTGTGCACCATGTCCGGTAGGATCGGACGATCACCGGATATTGAAGCTGAATCATGAACATCGCACGATTCGCGCCGTGATAACGGTAACTGCAGCGTTTTATTTTTGCTGCCTTTCGATAATGCAGAAGTAACTTTTAAATGCATCTCGGTCTGACTACGCAACCAAACTTTCTAAACAGCATTTTTTCGAGGAAAAATTTTGCGTGCCTGAAAATTGCCGGCTCTCGAAACAAAGAAAGAGGAAGAAGCTGCGATTTTTTATCGCGATGCACGCCGAGAGCCACTCTGCAGATCGCTTATCCAGTATGTGGCACACGCTGTACGCGCTATGAGGAAGCAGACTAGTATCTTTTAACAAGACAAGTATCTTTTAAAGAGAATAAAGGTCTTTATCTGCTGTGCGTCTGCTTTGCAAGAAAGCGCCAATTTATCTTTTATAAAATGTGCTTGCTCGGCGCAGTGTAAAAATTAAGAGCACAAACATTGAGTTAAATTTGTAGAAAGTATCTCTTATATTTATTCTTCTAAATAACAGATTAAACTTGTCCTCGGTAAAAATGTCGAGAAATCTCTTTGGCAAAATTATTAAAAAATAAAAATCAACAGATTTACAACCACATAAATTTTAGAAGAGAAAATACGTAACAAAATCATTCTTTACTCCAAGAACTTTAAACTGAAGATTTCATAGTAAGAATTGCTTCGCACAATACGCTATTTTCTTCTTCATGTTATAATGCCAGAAACCTTCGTAGATATTTAAATCCAAAGAATGTTCTCTTTCTTAAATTAAAATGGAAAAATATGCAACGTTGTTCTGGACAATTCTCTAGGTGGAATCTCAAAGAATTATGAATCTAGACAACTTCTATCATGATTCAGAAATATCTAATCGTGTTACGTTTATTAGCATGTTATTTCAATACAATAAAATTGCATTAGTCCGAGGAACGTGCGTTACCATCAGCGATGATGATTCACATCTATCCCCGTACAATACTCGCTTCATTACGCAATTCTGAGCTTTGCAATAATAAGTAAAAAATTTATTATAACAAGAATTAAATTAAAAAAATTGGGAGAAATTGAATTTAGATTCGTACAAGTGAGCAAAATTTAAAGAAATTTAACAATTTTAAACCCAAAAAAATGTTGATTAATTTTCTACTACTGCCGAACAATTAATATCACTTGATTGCACGTAAAAATTCTGAACATATCAGAATTATGTTCTCTAATACTTTCTTTCTCTGTTTTTATGTGTTTTTATTTGCACATCTAGAAGGTTTCCTTCTTACATGGATTCTTCGCATCTCTCGATTCTTCTTTTCTGGGATTACTGATCAATCAGTTGGTCTTCAATAGGTCAGATAGATCAAATACTGTCAGGTAACCAATGACTCGTCACCGATTGCTTCGTTCCAACACAATGCAACCAATCCTCTCGCGAAACGAAAAGAGGAGCTCGGGCGAGTTGCCAGGTAAAGTATGAGGTAAAACCGACGACCGCCGATATGACGAAGAAGTGTCAAGGTAGGGAGTTCACTCCGGAGTGAGTGCCTCTTCCTGTTGGTTCGTCCCGACGTTTCAGTGCTCCCGGTGCCACACCGACCGATGGGACTTGTTGTCTTCTAGCGCGCGCTGTCGCGATCAAAGAAAAACGTGAGCGTTATGTCTGCACGGGTGGCATCGGATCGAGTTCAACGATCGACGTGTTGATCGATAGCTCATCGGCTAATCGCATCGTCGGTCCGGAATCACCGGTTTAAGTAATACGCGTTATATTAATATCGCCTCGGGCAAAAGTCGAATTCATCGAACACATATTAAACGCGAA